AGCTATATTGTTGTTAAATGTCTGTGTCTCTTACTTCTGTCTATAAGATTAAAATACGATGTTTGTAAATTATCTATATCGCTGCGTTTGTTGACAGAGTTTTCTCGTTTTATATTAATCATTTCACTTAATAATCTCTTTTTCAAAATTGTCTGTTTATCAATGATTCGTGTAGAATCAAAATCAAAAGTATGTAATGTAGACAAACTGTGTTCCGCAAGAGCAGTTAAATTTTGTTTGCGTTTTAAGGGATTGAAAACATTGATTACATCCCTCTTATGTTCTGTTATCCTTGTTCCCAAATAACGACCCGTTTGGCCTATGTAGCACTTTTCACAGTCATGGCAAGGAATTTGATAAACGACATTAGATTCCAAATTTGTAGGTGTTCTACTTTTAGTTTTTGAGAAATATTTCTTTCTAATTGTATTTTCGGCTTTCTGATTTACCTTTATATTGCCATTTGATAGTGTTTTAGCTAACCTTTCAGACATACCTTTAATGTACGGAATCTTAAAATGTTTCACTTCATTTAGTTCTTTTCTATCATGATGATCTTGACTAGATAATATCTTATTTACTAAGCTTTTAGGATAATTATTATGATGTAAATAAGTTTTGATTAAATTTATGTTCTTTTGCCAGAAAGATGAATGTGATAACATTTTAGCGCGAAATTTTAAATTGTTTATAATATTTATTTTTTGAGATAATGGATGTTCTGAATTATAATTAAGAAATCTTTCTGAGAAAATGGGCTTGTGATATCAATCAGTTATCAGTAGATTATTATTTCTTATTATTATCATATCTAAAAAAGGTAATTCATGTTTTTCATTTTCAACTTCTATGGTGAAACATAGGTCTTTGTGAAAATTATTAAATGTATCTAAAAGGAGTTGCTCAGTATCTTTGGGAATAGCGGTAACAATGTCGTCTACATACCGCAAATTTTAATGCTTTTACACTCGCTGGTGATCAATGTTCAGGTGTAATTAAGTATTCTATATTCTAAAGATACTATCACTGACTAGGGTTTCACGGCTTGACCTGATTTTAAGCTACTTGTGTGAAATCAAGTCAGATTCAAGTAAACTAACAAAAGTTCAATTCTAAATTTAGCCAGGTAGTTAAATCTATTTCAAGTGCTGGGAAATTCACGTTGTTATAAAGATATAAAAGAGTTTTGTAGTTGCAAATCTTAATGCGTGTGTAGGGTAAATTCAAATGAAAGATGATAAATACTGCTAAATATAATAATTGGGCCTTAGTCCAAAGTCTCTTCATTTGTGTTTAAGTTTTTGAAATACATATTTCAAAAAATTGATATTAATTCTAAAACTGTTTACTTTTATGAATTCGAATAAGAAATATACTCATGAAACATCATGTTTGAACGATATTGCCTACTAAAATTTAAGTTTCTTACACTTCATTTATATTTTTAACATGGAATACAAACTTCTAAAAAGCAATAATCAATAGTAATGTTGCATGTTTAGAATATTTAAAAATGACAAATTATAAACAAAATTAGTATGTACTTATGAATCAATTAAATAGGAATGTATACCTAAATAAAACTATGAAAATTAGTTTTTCTTTTATTTAATCTACCATTCAATAAATATTTTATTAATGTGTGACATGAGAGTACTTACAGCTATCTGAAATAGCAGTACATGCTCTAATATTTAATATAAAATTCTAGATTAATTATACTAAATACACTTACTGTGAACAATACAAAGCGTTTCTGTAATAAGTGCGTTCCTTCAAAGGGTTAATAGAAGATTTGAAAATATATAATTTTCATTAAGCAACTCGTGGTCTAACGTGTCATGTCTTTCACGAAATTTATCAAGAATTATTACGGGAAACTTAGGTCGACCCTTAATCAATTGATCAACTGTGTACGTAGTAACTACGTCAAATCCAGTGTGGTTATTTGCTCGGCGCGGACGTGTCTTAATTACCTGTCTCGTCGACTATAGATTGATTTACGTTTATTTCAAAATGCCATATTCAAATATAGCGGATATACCTAATATTAATGTACGGGGAGTGCAAATATGATTAAAATATGATTTTTCAATTTTTATGTGAATCCACGAAGACAATAACTGAATCCTAGAATAGTGTAAAANCCTGTCTCGTCGACTATAGATTGATTTACGTTTATTTCAAAATGCCATATTCAAATATAGCGGATATACCTAATATTAATGTACGGGGAGTGCAAATATGATTAAAATATGATTTTTCAATTTTTATGTGAATCCACGAAGACAATAACTGAATCCTAGAATAGTGTAAAATACTATTCAAAGATAGCAGGACACTGGTAGAGTGAACCCAACCTATGACGGTCGTGGATAAGAGAGAGCGCACAACATACCTTAAATAGGGAGGAAGACATTTTACACCTAATCGAGGAAAATGCAAGCTCCAATACCTGTTATATTGCATGTGAAATGGGTGTTTCAAATACTATTGTGTGGCGTGTGTTATGGGAGCAGATACTGCATCATAATCATGTACAACATGTGCAGGCCTTGACTGCAAATGATTTTTAGCCACTTATAGAATTTTGTCGTTGGTTTCGGCAGCAAGTGACACAAAACAGAATTATAACAACTCTTCACAAACGAATTCTGCTTTACCAGAGATAAAATGCTGAATTTTCATAGTTCTGACTTTGTTTCTAGTGCATTAGAAACATTTTCCAAGAGTCAGATACAATCGGATTTGATTCGTCTAACTGTTGGAAACTGTTTTGGATTGCTCTAGGAACAAAGCTACTATTAGTGTGATGCTAATCTTTCCGAAGTACAGAATTTATGTGGGGTTTTCGGTGTTTCTTCCAAGCTGCGGTCGAGTTTCTAAATAACCTTCCCGAGTTATTAGATGACGTTTCGTTATGGCGGTCTTCTCCTGTCTCCATGAGTGTAGGGCTGTCGAACGCAAACTATACCAAGGAAGGAATAAAAATGGGTTTAAAATTCATGTCTGTCGTTTCTAAGAGATAACGATGAGTAGTTCTGTTATCATTTTTACAGACTGAAACTATGATATATTCGATACGCAATCTGTTTTATACATCTTCAAACGAAAAAACCTAGAGGATTCATATCTAGAATTCTTGCTGGCCAATGCGGTGGTCTAATGCGTCCTGGAAAACTAGCGTGTAAAGATAAACAATTCGAGAAACATGCGGAGCACCGTCGTGCATTAAAATCATGCTTGCGCGTATGTGGAGCAGTGTAATGGCAATAAAGAAGCTGACAAGCTAGCCAGGAGTGCATCGGGTTTCAATATTTTTGGACCCGGTTCTTTCAGTGTGCTTTCGCTGTCAGCACTCGTTGAAATTATCAAGGAAATCAAAGAATTTATGAAACGGTGGGATGAAACAAATAGCTGTCCATTTGCTAAGGAGTTCTTAGAATACCCTAGCAAGGATACAGTCAAAAAATACCTGCCTATGTCTAGGTCAAGTATTCAAACTGGGGTACTGTTGGCTCAGGAAGCAACTTCACAACATGAGGAAAGTTTGAAACACTTCTTTGTAGGGGTTGTGAACAGGAAGACTAGACAGTACCACGTGTGCTATGTGAATGCACTGCCCTCTCGTCAACAAGAGAATCCGTGTTGGGAGAACGTTGGCCTTCTATGGCACTGTAAATAAATCGGTTTTTGGTCAATATTGAGCATTTTGATAGTTTTACAAATTTTTGATAATATTTTAACTTAAACCGATAGTTTCACTTATAAAATTTTAGTTGTACCTACTCATACTAATAGAGGAAAATTTCACTCAATCGGATGGACAAAAATTGATACATTATTGAGTGAAAATAAGTCCAATGTTTCTTACAGTATATTAGGGAGATTCCCTTGAGCAATGTCATCACCTTTTTCTCTTTAATATGTTGGTTAACGGCTCAGATGGATTGATATCCTAATGGGAGGAAGTACATGGGGGTCCAATGGGACCAAAGTGCTGTAGCTTTTTAAGCTACTCTCCCCACAATTCCAGATTCCGGATTCCAGATTCCTTCCTTGGTATAGTAATATAGTCTAAATGTAATACATAACAGGTGAAAGGTACATTACTCCTTTATTAAACAGCAGCTACTGAAATGTGCTCGCTTAGTATTATGCTCAAGATTAGCCAAACCTTTTTACAACCTAATTCAAGTTACTGAAATTACATGAAGTATTGTAATAAACACGCAAACGCAAACAACCTTGTAATAGCTACTGAAATTATTAAACTAATAACAGTGCACGCACAGACTTCATTTACATTTGAGACTAACAATACCATGGATAGTAGTGTCACTAAGCCACAACAAAATCAGATGTGGGGCATCTATAAATCAAGTTTTAACTATACGGTCAAAACCTTATTTACTAAAAATGTGACGTCGTGCACTTACACTAAAGGGTTCATTTTTATGAGTAGAATCATTGTTAAAATTGCTCATAGTTTTGAGACATTCCATATATATTTATTGTTTTTTGGTCAATATTTTTTAAAACTGACTTTTTCGGGCAATTAAATTTTTTTTTTTCTTAGAAGTACACTTACATATAAAGAAACATAGCAAAGCCAAAAACTATCCAGCAAATAATTTCAGACAATAACTGGCACATTTTATTTTTAGATTCTCCACTAGACCTATCGATGTCCCTCCTCTCGAGAGCCTTATCGGGGTCACCCCCATCGGCGGAGGATGAAAGGAAATCCGTCTCTGGTGACAGCTCGGCGGCCAGTTCACAAGGCGATCTTCCAGAAACAGCAGTGCCCACACCCCGAGCAAGGCCGAGGGAAAGGACGCTTTTGCCCTGTGGAGTTTGCAGTAAAGCTTTCGACAGGCCTTCCTTACTGAAAAGGCACATGAGAACACACACAGGTGAGCAGTAATCATTGTCGGTCAAAGCAACAATGTTTATTTTTGGCAATAATGAAAGTATTCCTGATGGCTCAAACCATTGAATCGTCTCGACATCTTGCTTTGAATTAGTGTTAGGGATTCGATATGAATAAAATAGGCAAAAATTGGAATGGCTTTTTTAGTTTTTATATTATAGGCCAGGAAATATAGAATAGGACGCGACTTTTTGTTTCGGCAAGCTGAATTTGTCACTATAGATGCTAAAAATTATGTCAATGACATATTAGTTTCCACAGTCATAAAAATTGTTTACAGGGTGGTTAATTGTATAATTTTTACGTAAATTCAAGTTTTTCGGTTATAACATTTTTCCGTTCATTTCCACGAGAAAACAGTAACATACTTTTTTTTTTCGTTTTCATACGACCTACAAAACTAGCCCTCGAGCGTCAAAAAATATTGATTAGATCAAAACTTATAAACAAAGAAATTTATTTATCACTTTTGAATTAAACATTTATAAACTGCGTTATTATTACCAGAACGTTTTGGCATCGCATCCTCTCATTCCTTTTCACTGTCTAATAACTAACACGAAATCTGGAATCGTTAAGTTGAATAGTTTACAAGTTATGGCCTTATAAACAAATTAACTAATTTCTGGACGATCCCGAGGATCTTCCACAATCGCACTGATTTTTTTCATGGTAGATTTCATAATAATACATTGAAATCTATCATTTTTTTTAATTTCAAATTTGCAACCTGGATTTTTTTTATTTTTTAGCCTTAGTTGCAAAATGAAATTTACGACGCACGCGCGTGATATAGTTATATATTATTACATATTCGGAAAGCTTATGAAAAGAGCTTGAAGTTAAAAAAAAATTGTCAAGATTCGTTGAAAAACAACGAAACAAACAGTTACAGACTGTCAAAGTTGACGGCCTATTGTTAAACAAATTAGGTTGGTAGCGGCAAAAAAAATACTGTCATAACCGGCAACCCGAGTCCTTTCCCAGATAAAAATATTTTATTTGTGCAAGTATGTTAAGTGCATAAGAAATATTGTTAAAAGTCAGAGGGTCGCTTGATTTTTCAGCGAGCCGTGGCGCTGCGGAAGGGTGGGGGAAGTGAACGACAGCGAGTCCGAAGAAAATGACAATAATATTCATAGTCCTGACGTTAAAAAAAGTGAAATTCGCTTTAAATAATATATTTGACAGTCTGTAACTCCGTTGTTTTTCAACAAATCTTGACAATTTTTTTTTTAATTAAAGCTCTTTTCATAAGCTTTCCGAATATGTAATAATGTATAACTAAATCACGCGCGTGCGTCGTGCATTTCATTTTGCAACTAAGGCTAAAATATAAACAAATTTCCAGGTTGCAAATTTGAAATTTAAAAAGAAGAAATGATAGATTTCAATGTATTATATCTACCATGAAAAAAATCAATGCGATTGTAGAAGATGCTCGGGATCGTCCAGACTAATAATGAATTAATTTGGCCATAACTTGTAAACTATTCAACTTAACCGATTCCAGATTTCGTGTGAGTTATTAAACATTGATATGGAATGAGAGGATGGGATGCCAAAACGTTCTGGTAATAATAACGCAATTTATAAATGTTTCTTCAAAGGTCATAAATAAACTTCTTTTGTTTATAACTTTTGATCTAATCAATATTTTTTGACGCTCGAGGGCTAGTTTTGTAGGTCTTTTGAAGGCGAAAAAAAGTACTTTACTGTTTTCTCCTGGAAATGAACAGAAAAAAGTTATAAGCGAAAAACGTGAATTTACGTAAAAGTTATACATTAACCACCCTGTAAACAATCTTCCCCCCATTATTGTGACTGTGGAAACTAATATGTTATTGTACATAATATTTAGCATCTATAGTGATAAATTCAGTTTGCCGAAACAAAAAGTCGGGAAATGGTCATTTCCCAGCTCTTTTTCCTGGCCTATTACGTCCTGTTTAATTAGAAGAGGTTACAATTTTTGAAATTACCTATAAGACACCCTAATATTTTTTGTCACTTATTTTGGTTCAACATTTCATGTTAAACATTATGTGCTGCTTTAGTCAACNAAAACTATCCAGCAAATAATTTCAGACAATAACTGGCACATTTTATTTTTAGATTCTCCACTAGACCTATCGATGTCCCTCCTCTCGAGAGCCTTATCGGGGTCACCCCCATCGGCGGAGGATGAAAGGAAATCCGTCTCTGGTGACAGCTCGGCGGCCAGTTCACAAGGCGATCTTCCAGAAACAGCAGTGCCCACACCCCGAGCAAGGCCGAGGGAAAGGACGCTTTTGCCCTGTGGAGTTTGCAGTAAAGCTTTCGACAGGCCTTCCTTACTGAAAAGGCACATGAGAACACACACAGGTGAGCAGTAATCATTGTCGGTCAAAGCAACAATGTTTATTTTTGGCAATAATGAAAGTATTCCTGGTGGCTCAAACAATTGAATCGTCTCGACATCTTGCTTTGAATTAGTGTTAGGGATATTATATTCGATATGAATAAAATAGGCAAAAATTGGAATGGCTTTTTTAGTTTTTATATTATAGGCCAGGAAATATAGAATAGGACGCGACTTTTTGTTTCGGCAAGCTGAATTTGTCACTATAGATGCTAAACATTATGTACAATAAAATATTAGTTTCCACAGTCATAAAAATGGGGGAAAGATTGTTAGACAGTGATTAAGGAATGAGAGGATACGATGCCAAAACGTTCTGGTAATAATAACGCAGTTTATAAATGTTTAATTCAAAAGTCATAAATATACATCTTTTGTTTATAACTTTTGATCTAATCAATATTTTTTACGCTCGAGGCCTAGTTTTGTAGGTATTTTGAAGACGAAAGAAAAGCACTTTACTGTTTTCTCGTGGAAATGAACGGAAAAAAGTTATAAGCGAAAAATGTGAATTTATGTAAAAATTATACAATTAACCACCCTGTAAACATTCTCCCCCCCCAATTTTTATGACTGTGGAAACTAATATGTTATTGTACATAATATTTAGCATCTATAGTGATAAATTCAGCTTGCCGAAACAAACAGTCGGAAATGGTCATTTCCCAGCTCTTTTTCCTGGCCTATTACGTCCTGTTTAATTAGAAGTGGTTACAATTTTTGAAATTACCTATAAGACACCCTAATATTTTTTGTCACTTATTTTGGTTCAACATTTCATGTTAAACATTAGGTGCTGCTTTAGTCAACATTTTTGTAAGCTGCAATGTACCCTGTATACCATATATCATCTTCTCTATATCTTCTCAAAGTTTCTCACGACATCGCTATTACACCGTGTATATTCCATACTTTGATTAACGTTGAGTTTAAGTAAACACATTTTATTTTAATTGCTACATCCATCGCGAAACTTCCAACAAACATAAAAAAATTAAAACAGCAGGCGATAAAATAATGGAAATGCCATTAAATTAAACTAATGACCTATGTATATTTGATGTGTTTTAGTTGATGTCCCACTGAGTTCCTGTTGGTTGACAAGGTCTTATATATTTTAATTTAATAAATATATCTACAATATTTCTATATAAAAAATTATAATTTAATTTTAATACCCATGAATTTTTTTTTGTAAAAAACTTGACGAAAGCAGAGAGATTCACTAAACTAGTTTTTTGAAACTTGTCATTAGTAACAAACTCATGAAATATGTTAATCAGTATACAAAGTTCAAATTGAATTTTATATTACCAACGGAAATTTACTGTTTTCGAAAGTGGATAAACTAAAATAATATACATGTTGTCCCAGAAAAAGTAAGACCATAGACTAACATGACCAAAATAAGATGATTCAGATCAGCTGAAATGTTTTAGCTTGAAACGTCTTCTTTGGTACAAGTCTTTGTTTATTTGTTGATATATTTTCTTCACATAACGTACTATTTTTATATTTTTGATATTTATCTATACTGTAAACTAAAAAAATATTAAATATCTGTAAGTTTATAGAGTGTGAAGTACTACAAACGTCAAGACTATAAGAAATGCTACAAAAAATTGCTTTAATAAAATAAGGCCATACTGTAGTATAAAACAATATTGAATTTATTATTTCCTGACAGTAACTTATTTGAAAATATTGGAAATCTTATCAAAAAAAAATCTGGTGCTTACATCTGTTGGATTTAATGCTAATAATTATGCGTGTTGGTAGATACAATGTTTTTATAGCTTATTTTTACATGTTTATAAACAATATATATTTCAGTAGCTTGCCTTGAAAAGTTATAATTACTGGTAATTTACCTAGTCAAAATTAATGTATGATTTATAAAAACCCGTTTCACAATTAATGATGTAATTATGTTCTTAAAATAAATTAACACAGAAAAAGATTATTGCTTTTTAGCAATATACACAATATAAACAGTAATCTCTCAAATACTGTCAAAAATCAAGAGATTTTGAGGAAACATTACTGGTTTGAAATCATTAATATTTATATTGAAGTGATAAGATGCGATCTTTTAAAATACTGAAATTATTTTATAATAAATCAAATTTAAAAAAGTATACCCTTCATAAAGTTCTAACGAATGTAATATGAATATAAATTCGAAAAAATTTTTGCATAATATTTGAAAAACATTTTCAGAAATTTATATTTAATTTTTTTTTAAACATTATTTTTAAAGACTTAATTTTCTGCGTTAATATGACTAAACTAGAAGTATTATCTTCACATAATACAACTATTGACAATATTTGCTTTATGTTCAGTATGCCGTCGTTCAATCCAACAATATCGTTATACGTTTATTAAGAAATATGTTCAATAAACGTAGTGTTATAATGTTCTCTGTGTAGTTAAAATTGCTTTTAATTTAATATTATTTTGTATGTATAATTGAACAGTAAGAGTTTCGTATGATGACAGGGGAATGAATTATACAGTTTCATAATTTTCATTAGGATGTGTCATGCAATGCTGAACTAAAATGTGAATAATATAGAATTGATTAAAGAAAAATCGAAGATAGTTATGATGTACGAGGTCTGTTCAGAAAATAACTGAAATTTATTTTTTTAAACTATTATTAATTTTATATATTATTGGTCCTTGTATCCTTCAAAGTACTCCCCTCTCCTATTCAGACACTTTTCCCAGCATTGGTTTCATTTCGCGAAACAGTCTTGTAAAGCATCATTTAAAATGACCTTTAAAGTCTGTGACGAATTTGCTTTGATGTCATCAATAGACTAAAAACGGCGTCCTTGCAGCACTGATTTTATTTTAGGAAATAAGAAAAAATCGCAAGGGACCAGGTTTAGTAAATAGGGTGAGAGAGGACAGTAAACTGATGTTTGACACAAAACTGACGAATTGACAAAGCTGAGTGTGCAGGAATCATGAGTTGCCTCATCACAACGCTGGTCTCTTTTTGTGGATTTTTTCACGTAACCTTTGTACAACGTCTTGATAGTACACATGATTCACCTTGAAGCAAGAATTCAAAAGGCAAAATTCCATTAAACTCGAAAAAGCAGTGAGCATCACTTTGACATTACATCGAGACTGACGTGCTTTCTTAGGGCATGGAAATCTTCTTCCATTGCCATTGTGCTGATTGAACTTTTATCTCAATCTCGTAGCCATAAACCCAGCTTTTGTCTCCCGTTATGATCCATTGAATGAATGTTTCATCGTCATTGGATTATTCAAGGAGTTGCCGACAAACATCCACACGACTTTCTTTCTGTTGTCCGGTCACCAAACGAGGAACAAATTTTGTTGCAACTCGATGCATGTACAATTTATCAGTCAAAATTTCATTGCATGGCCCAATTGAGATGCTAACCTCTTCTAAAATTTCTCTGATAGTCGACGATTTGCACACACCAGATTTGACTTTGATTGAACGTGGGAGTCATCAGTTGAAGTCGAAGGCCTTCCGGGTCAAGAATCACCTTCAATTGACTAACGACCACTTTTGAATCGTCTCCGTAAGCTTGTTTCAAAATTTGGAATGTTTCCGTGAAAGTTTTCTCCAAGTTTCACAAATTTTATGTTAAATAACAATATCACGAAAACTAAATGAAATATCGACAATCCAAGAACATGCGATTACAGAGGAGGTTATGCGCAACGCAATAATGCCAACCGCATATCACTAAATATATCCATTAGTGCGTAATTCAAAATGTTCCGTTGTTTTCTGAGCAGACCTCGTATAAAACCTATATGCGTTTCCTATAGATTGTTTAATTTGATTTGATTTATAATCTCTTGGAGTCTAACAATATTTGTTAGATAATAAATTTTATTTTTTGATAACATTAAAATGAAATGAAATACTTGATGTAAAAAAGAAATGTCAAAAATGGGGAAGCATTATGCTTTGAGAATATCTCTAACATAAATATTTTTGTAGCCTTGCCATTTTTTTACTCCCTTTGAAAAACATTTGCCAAATATCATGTGATATGTTTTTCGTCGTTTTTGTTCTCAGAAAAAATTGGTTAACAATTTTCCCTTATGAAATTAAATAGACATCTTATATTACCCATGTCACTGATTTGTTATTGACTATTTGACTTAATGCATTTTAATCGATCAATTGTAGTGTTTTAAAAGTTTTATCTACAGTAAAATCACAATAGCCTTTCTTTTTATCGGATAAATTTCTCTTTGTAACGAAATAATTTTGCCAATCAATAATTTTACGAGAAAAACTGAAATAATGTCAGTTTTTCGAGCAAAATTACTGATTGGCAAAATTTTGAGTTAAAAAGAAATTTATCCATGAAATGAAAAGTTGGCGTGGTTTTTGGGAAGATAAATTACCGATCAAATATGTGAATGACAACAAAAATAAATATCTTTATTGTATGTGAACGAATAATTATTATTGTTTGGACTGGTGTACTGATTTGAATATTTTCTTGTCGAGTTTCCGTACATGTTGAATATTCCTTATTCTATCCGTGATTTGTAAGTTACTAATAAGAGTTTCGTAATGTTCATCAGCGTTAATCTGAAGGTAGGGTTTAATGGACGATGACGATGAGTGTCTGATTATTATCTTTATCAGTCGTTGTCACTTTGGCTAAGTGAGAAACTGTACTGGCATGGTTTGAATGGTTAGTAATTTTATTATTTGTGATGTCCAGTCCAATTTTAGCTGCAGATTCTTTTGCCCCCGAAGATACAGTATTAATTCTTAGTGGGACATTTTTATACCAACCTTTAGCAATTGTGTTTGACCAAAAGGGATTTGGAATTAAAAAAAGTCGATCGGATGTTATGTTTTTGTTTAACTTTTAATTTTAACATTTTAACATTGTAACAGGACAAATACTTTCATCGTTCTTATTTTTTTGTTATCCATTTGCTCTCTGTCAATTTTTTCGATCCGTCATGTGCTGTCTCTGAAAATATTGAATTGTATTTGATTCTTCCTGTTTCTCATCACTCACCTGTTTCTGAGGTAACTAAATTAAATTTTGAAATATTAAAACATTTATGAGATATTCTTGTCCAGTATCATTCTATATACTTGTATTTTTAGTTTAATATTACACTATAATTTTTACACAAAATTTAAAGATTACAATTAAGTTATTGCTGCCATATGTAGTTTACATATGTTTTTGTTATTTTTGTTAGTAACTGATTTGAATTGAATTATTTTAATTTTTTGGTGAAATTCTTTTGTCAAATATCATTTCCGGCGATGGTCGTGTCAGAATTTTTTTCTCGATTTTGGTGATTTTATAAAGTCAAAATTTTTATTTCTCTTCTATTTAGGCTTAAACAAGTAAGAAAGAAATAAATTGTACACTCGAGGTTTTATCAGAAAAAATAACAAAAACTCACAAAATATACTAACAAAACTACCGTCTCTTATGATATATTATGATATGATATATGCATAAATTACTTCATATTGAACTGCATTTTATTGTCATGCTGGACAAATAAAATTACATCAAATAGTATTTATTTGAAAATTTTGACTCTAGCCCCTATGACAAAAAAGAATAAAATTTCTTCTTAATTCTTCTTAAATTTAAGTGAGAAAAACGTTAATTCATTTTTGACATTTAATTCTGTTATACCCTGTATACTCAACTAAACGTAAGCTACCAAAGATTTTTCTAATTCGCTGAAAAGAATAATTCCAATATTTACAAAAAAATACAGGGTGTTCCTAAATATCATGTACATAAGGAAGGGGGTACAATTTATTGGCTTAATTCATGACTAAAAGTTCATATAAACGTAGGTCCGCAAACCCTTCGTTACCGATCTACAGGGTGTTGAAATTTTAAGATTTTTTTAGTTTTTTTCTCTATAGCTCCCACAGTTTTTGAGATATTCAGCTGAAATTTTGAATACGCTGTAGGGCTTACATCATTGGGCATGCCAAATGGTCGCGATATTCTACAGAGTGATATTTTTTCGGGGTATGCCCCATTTTCTTCCCTTGAACTTTTATGTGGTGCGCTGCTGGTAGATTCTAAAATCAAAACTCAATTTTATGTTTTGTTGAGAAATTTTTTTGCCTCTTATGATTTTTTCGTATCTGCGACCGTTATTGAGAAAAAAAATAAAAAACGATTTTATGTAATTCGTTAGATGAAATTTAAATTCTTAAAATGGTCCAGTAGGCTCTGGCTTTATTTAAATAATTTCTCGTTTTTATTAATTTGACAGTTCGCATTTAAAATAGTAACTTGGATCTGCATATGTTTAAAAATTAAAGGTTTATGTTACAAACTGTAAGGTGTAAAAGTGTTTTAAATACTCATATCTCATAACAATGCCAAATTTTACGAATTTTGAAATAGATCATCCCAGCTTTAATTTTTAACAGGTAGTGGCGAATAAACTGTCAAAATTAATAGAAACAAGAGATTGTCTAAATAAAGCCAGAGCCTACTGGACCATTTTAAGAATTTAAATTTCATCTAACGAATTACATAAAATAGTTTTTTATTTTTTTTCTCGATAACGGCCGCAGACACGAAAAAATCATAAGAGGCAAAAAAGTTTCTCAACAAGACATAAAATCCAATTTTTATTTTAGAATCTACCAGCGGTGCACCGTACAACATTTCAGGGGAAGAAAAGGGGGCATGAACCCCGAAAAATATCACTCTGTAGAATATCACGACCATTTGGCATGTCCAATGATGTAAGCCCTACAGCGTAACCTATATTCCAAATTTGAGCTAAATATCTCAACAACTGTGGGAGCTATAGAGAAAAAACTAAAAAAATCTTAAAATTTCAACACTCTGTAGGTCGGTAATGAAGCGTTTGCGGACCTATGTTTTATGAACTTTTAGTCATGAAATAATTCAAAGAATTACCCCCTCCCTTATGTACATGATATTTAGGAACACCCTGTATATTAATTAGATAGTAGTCTGTAAACAAAGTCAATAATATACATAAAACGTATCGGAAATCCCAGGCGTGTAGATGGACTGGCATTTCCTAATTGTTACTGTTTTTATTGAATAAATCAGAAAACCCTCGACCTTCAAAAAATTCTAATACAGATGTAAAATACAATTAAAGTCAGCAATATATTGGTTACAAATAAAAAAACAGTTTTGGCTTACATTTATATGCCTTACTCAGATCATGTATCTTGTATCAGCACATTTTATTTTCAGGAGAAAAGCCCCACGTCTGTATGGTTTGCGGTAAAGGATTCAGTACATCTTCGTCCTTGAACACACATAGGAGGATTCACAGTGGAGAGAAACCGCACCAGTGTCCTGTTTGTCTGAAACGGTTCACGGCCTCCTCTAACCTTTACTACCATCGCATGACACACATCAAGGTAGGCCACCTATATTCTCACACTTAGCATTATCATATCTTTGAACAATGGGTGGGTGACGTACCTTAATGTTTTAATGACAGAAGTCGTATACCAACTTAAAAATGAAATTTACATTATAGTAATTGCCGACATTAAAGTACTAAACCACGTTGGACTGAATTTAAAAAAAAAATACTGTAATGATACAATACTGGTTTTGCCTCTTACTCATATAATAAAATATGTCAAGTACTTATTATATACGTGAACAATGTTAGTTATGGATTGTTAAATATAATGTTCTATAAAACAGTAATTATATTATTTTATTAAGTCAGTTAACATACAGCGAATTGTATTTCAATTAATTACTAGATTTATGGCGCTGGTAATAAATGTTGTGAAGGATATATTAGTGTCAATAGCTGGTTTAAACATTGGAAAAACGAATAACATAAATATATTCTCACATTGCTGTTACATAATGTTGAAATTATTGAATTTACATGCAGTAGTTGATGTTAGAGACAGAAAAAACAATTTTTTTTCTTAGTTTTTTACTTATACAGGGTGTTCTACAAGTTCTATGACAAATTTTGACAGATGGTAGCTGGGTTAATTTCAAACATTTTTTTCTTATATGAACATAGATCCGATTCGTTTTTGTTTATTTGTCAAAATTTGTCATAGAGCTTGTGGAGCCCTGTATAGAGGGAACACCCATGTAAAACAAGATATTTATGATCCGATTTACGTTTTGAAAGATTTTCTTTTAGAACATTTTAATTTTCTTATTTAAATTTGTACTAAGTTTAGTAAGGTAAGGTAAGGTATCATTACTGGTAAAATTAATATTAATGTTCTTTTTTCTATTACCGGTTTTCGTAAATTAGCAGCACAGGAAACACTGCTGCTGCATCTGTGAACTACTATAATAAATAATGAAAATAAGTAATTATTTTGTTTATAATTTATCGGAGCGGTAGAATACTAAGAAATGAACTAATGTACATAAGTAATAATAATGCAAATTCTTTAAGCATTACTTATTTAGATTCACTTTTATGTGTGCAACTTATTGCACTGAGAAGAAGTATTGCTTTACTGAAAATATAAATATTTACTAATTATAACGTTTACAAATACCAGGGCGGGGAAAGTTTAATTAACTTAAAATATATAATTTAATTAGAGGTACAAATAATGACCATTTATCTACGTAATACTCTTATTTTTTAATGCAGTGCCCATACCTTCGCACTATTTTTTTTTATTAAAACATAAATTAACATCATCGGTTGAATCAGGAATGTACTTTTTATTTAATCTTGTCTTGTCCTCCCTTTGAAGCATGCCTCAAGGTCCAAACACATGATAACCAGAAAAAACAAGGTAATGAAAAAAGTCCTTCAGATAATTCAAAAAAATTTGAACATTCCTCAACCTTTGAAAGTATCCTCATAGAAGTCTTGTAAAATTTGAACAAAAATTAACCACTGGCCTGATACGTTTCATACAAAATCAAAGACCTCGTAGGAAAGATAGACCACCACATCAACTCTGGAGATACTTTCAACAGGATCAAAGGAATCCAGCTAGATCCAAATGAAGTCGGTGATGTCCGAAGTGCAAATTAAAGTTCTGGAAAAAGTTTGTATCGAATACTTATAGCAGGATACAAAGATAAGAACTTAGTAAACTTGAGAAAACCGTATATCAGATGATCCTCATCCTCTTTAGAGTATGAATAAGCTGAAGCAAAAACTGTAGACTTTCCCTTATTGACTGATTCACGCCTTGACAAATATCTACATGGAATGGCGTGAAAAGGAAGCACTGTGTAAGCAGTTCCAAAACCAAAGTGTTGGCTCAGATATGCTGACGATGACCTGATGAATATTTCATAATAAAGTTGGAAAACACGAGAGTATTCTGTTCCTAGATTATGTCAAGAGGAATCCTGATAACTCCGTAGCCAACAAACATTCAACAAGGTATCATTAACATCTTAGTGCTTCAAGCACGCACCATCTACGAGCCAGATCTCTTACCCGAAGAATTACATCAACTATGAATAACTCTCAGAGGAAATGGATATACTAATAGAAGTATTGATCAAGCTATCAGTAAGACACCTAATTTCAAGACAATGAAGGAATATTTGGTAATAACATTTTTATTACATTACATTACAGAGTGGATGTATTAATAAAGTAGGCCACCTGTTAAGAAAACAAAATGTTACTACAGCCCATAACACAAAAATAGAGACAGCTTTTTCCAAGATGAGATGCACGACTTCATGTACAAGCGACAAAGTATATATTGGTTAAACGGGGAGATATGTATCAACATTGATACATATCTCCCCGTTGATTAACACAGGGGAGATGTAGTAAAGAAGAGAGATTTTGGTCAGGACCCTATAGAGAAGCAGTCAGCAGAAATATCGAAATTATTACGATTGAGATGAGGGTTTAGAGCTAGTGAGAATCTGAAAATAATTTGTACATGGAAATCAAGGACTAATACATCACAGGGCAGCGTACCATGCATCGGGATATATGGACTAAAATACATGTTAAATATAAATACCGACCAGAGGACTTAATTTCCAGTTTCAAGTTCTTCTCAAGAAGAGAGCGATGGGAAGGAATTATGAGGGTTTTGTTTGTAAAAAAAATATTTGACGTTTAAGACAATTTTTTTTTACAAATTCGGATGAACCCAGTTCCTCGTAGAATGTAAAATCATTCACGAGTAAAAAGTTCAAAGCTCGTCAATAATTACACTCTGCCACCAAAAAGTGGGCATCAAACCAGTATATTTCCCAGTACTTTGAACTGGTGAATTCGAATCTAAAGCCTGAACTCACTGATTAGTTAGTGTTTTGATTCTAACATCAAGATATTCCCATAGAAAAGAGTTTTCGAGATTTTCAATTGACTTCAGTAGTCGGTAATTGGAAAAGTATTCAAATTAATGATCTTTTTATTCCACAGTTATCCTATGGTTTCGTAACTTCTTAACTTTACAATCTCGTAACTTCATAACCCGGGAACTGCGAAAGTATAGAACCATAAAGCTTGGGAATATGGATTTTATACATTAGGGATCCGAAACTACAAGACTTGGCAGGTTATGGTGCAATTAAATCATAAATTCCATTGTTATTTCAATTAAGTCAGTTTGAAATCTTGAAAACCGGTTTCTAGAAGAATTTTTTTTATGTAAGGGTCATTCAAATAAATGCGAATTTGTGTCAACGTTTTTGAACCTTTAACCGTGAACGGTTCTACGAACAAACAAAATCAGGAACTTTAAATATTTTTATTGAAAATGGTCCATTCAAATAAATAAAAGAAAACTATTTTTAAAGCCAAATATTTTGATTTTCAACAGATCTTTCATAATTTCGACATTACTGTTTGGTTTTTATTAAAATTTACTTTAAGGTAAGGAATTGCACTTGATTGTTAAGCAATTCATTAAAAGTTTTGACTCAGTTTAAATTTTTGAAGGATCATAGGGGCTTTAGAAATCTTTGTATTAAAAAACTCTTGTTTTCCATTACATCCCTCTACTTATATTCTTATGTCTAGTGTCATTTGAAGGTCTTCCGATTTTAATTCAACTTATAACTTATTACTATCAACGCATATTTTCCCATGTTTCATAACAAATCTAGGATGCAGCGATCTGCGATAAGACGAACGCACTTGGTGCGTTGCATTCCTTAATTAGTTACATTTAAATGTAGCTTGGAGGTTATGTGGGGCAGTAGTGGATCTGAAACGCTCCTTGAAGTCCGTGTGAACGCTTCTTAAAGTTGTTATGGTTCACCGATCCATGACTTCATTGTTAAACATATGTCATCACCGACAACCTTGTGTAGTACCTCCTTACCTTTGCCTATAATATTTACTTAGTTACAATCGACTTGTCTCCCTTTTGACCGAGGAATTTTTCAGGGCTTTGTGCGGTTTTAACGGAGATAATGTCGGTTAAGATTTTTTGAGAGAGACATAAAGTTGTCTACTACTTTGTACTCGCACGTACGTACAAGTGGATTTATGGGCGATAATAAAATATAATATAAATATCCGCTCCTGAATAATAATAATAGAATTAATATTTATTTCAAGATTTTTTTGTGGGTTTAAATAAAAGTATATTGAATAATAGAAATTAAAATACTATTTATGATAAAAGTGAATTCAATATGTTATTTTTGTAACTTTATAGCGTTGTCGTGTTTTTTTCCATTCTATTATTTGGCAACTATTGAGGACCATATTGCATCAATAATTAAGGCTTCTCTTGGACAGTTCAGAAAATTGAGAAAGAAGACAAAACAAGTGAAACTAGATACTATTGATTCACATACAACTGCAATTCGAAAAATAATATTGTGCGGCTTCAAATTAAGTAGAAAATGTGAATAAAAATGAAACTTAGCTCGTTAATGAAAAAACAATTGTGTTAACGAAAGTGAAAGGATAAGTTCCGAAAACTGAGAGAATATTAAAAAAGTAAAATCATATTCTAACGATTTAATTCAGGCGAAGATAATAAGATTTAAAACGTAGCTATATTCCATTCTGTTCATTAATAGACGTTAATACTAAGCACCAGAACATTCTTATAATATTTTTTATTAATATTCTGATTTGGCCATTGTTAATGGGATGAGCACTTACAAATTTATCAACAAAATTGTTAATTTTTTGTTTCAGATTTTTCCTGAGAAATTATTGTCTATAAGAATATGCAATTTTGATCTAATGTTGTAGAAATAGCTATGTTATCGTTTCTAATTTGAAACAGCCTTTATGGCTATATTTTAAATTAAGATAAGGAACTAGAAAGAGGTCGGTGATTCAGGTATGTCCTCAAATGAATATACTATCAAATATACAGTGTGCTTTCAAAGCCCGTGTCATAATTTCACGATATTGTTCAAAAAATCATTCTAGATGAAAAATCTTAATTATTTAAGGTAAACTACTTTTTTAACA